GGGCCAGGTCTCCAGTAGGGGGTGCTGGAGAGGCAACCACACACTGATGTTTCTCTCTTTCTCCTTCCCTTCCCTTGGCTCTCAAAATAAATAAAATCTTTAAAACATTTTTAAATAAAATATACAATTCATTGGTTTTTAGTGGCTTGTAGAGCAGAGCAGGCATCCGGCTGCGCTCCCCTAGCAGCCATCCATGTTAGAAGCTGGTGCCGAGAAGACATTACTCCTCGTTTCCTCTCAGGCCCCTCCCTCCCAGCTGCAGGCCGCCACCAATCAAATCTGCTTTCTCTCCCTAGGGATTGGCCTCTTCTGGACATTTATTTCATAGTGTGTGCTCCTGGGCCAGGCATGGTTCCAATCCTCAGAGAGGCAAAGTCCAGGACCTGCCAGCTAATGCATTCGGGAGCCTGCAACGGGGGAGCTGCGTCCAGAGCATCCCTGAACCACAGAGCGGTGTTGAGATGTTGAGACGGGTTAGTAAGAAGCTGGGGAAATTCCTGGGCAAGCGGGCTGGGGAAACTGAGACAAGGAAGTGAAACAAGCCCAGACAGTTGGAGCAACTTACAGCCAGACAGTGTATTGGTGAATCGCAAAACCTCGTCTCCCCTAACCAAGGACACTTGAGAGCCAATGGTTTATACCTCTGCTCTCTGACCAGACGATACAGAGGTTCCAGGCCATGCCCCACAGATGTCCCTGGAAGAGAGGAAAGCTAATGCAAAGGAGGGACAACAGCGGAACAAGGGGAGGAGCTTGGGCAGAAGCAGCGTGCCTCCCGGTTGGCTCCTCCTCCCCTTACGCCAAGGGAAAGGGCTCCTCCAAGCTCCCCCTAGGAGTCGTCCCCCAAATCCCCACGATCGCCCCATACAAACCTGCTTCTGAGAGCTCAAGGGAAGGTGGACGTTAAGGTTTTTACCCGGCACCTTCTCAGGTTTCCAGCCTCTGATATTAATGACAATACAACTGCAGTCCAATACCTGTCTCCGCCTTGTGGCTGAGCGGGGAGGGGACGCACACGCTCGGTCGCCCTCCGGTTTAGACAGGTCCTCCCTGGGTTTTCACGTGGCTTAGTGAACGGAGGCCCGGCGTTCACCGGCCTCATCCGGAACTCGTGGGCGGTAAGACAGTCTCGGAGCGACTGCTGAACTGAGGAATGAGTCTTACTCAGCAACCCGGCCTCCCCGGCTCCTTTCATTCAGGTCCAAAGGGGGCGCGGGGAGGTGGGGCAGGGGGTGTCACCCAGAAGTCTATTTCTGGTGGGGCTCCCCACCTGCGGGTGACCTAAGGGGTCCCGACCTCCCACCCGGTCGGTTCCTTTCGGGTCCGGGCGTCTAGTGAACAAGGCTGAGTTTCTTCTGCAAAAAAAACCGCTCACGCCGACCGAATGTGCTGAGGTTTTGAGTGACTGTAACAGAAGCTGGGATGTTGCTCGGTCGGGCCACACCTGTGTGTCTTCCGCGGCTGCCAAGGTTCAGCCAGCTCATGCCCTGCTTGACTCGACCCCAGTGCACTTCTGTTAATGGCCAGGGGGCTCCACCCTCTGACCAGGAACCCAGGCCCCAGGCCACCCGACAAGAAAGGGTCGTCATGAGTCTGTTACTGTGCACGAAACTGGGAGTTGAGCGGTGACTCAGTATGGGCTCCATCCCTGTGATAAACCCACCTTACACACTCCTCATTTCCTAGGGTCACCGGAACAACATAGTACGAACTGCGTGGCTTAACATAATAGAAAATTATTCTTGCACTGTTCTGAAAGCTCAGAGCCAGTCCCTGCCTCTATCACCACGTGGCATGCTGGTGTGACACCCGACACGGTGGCGTCAGGGCCCATTCTACTCCAGTAGGACCTCATCTTTACTAATTATATCTGTAAAGACCCTATTTCCAGCCCTGGCTGGTGTGGCTCAGTGGATTGAACACCAGCCTGAGAACCAGAGGGTCACCAGTTCGATTTGCAGTCAGGGCGCATGCGTGGGTTGCAGGCCAGGTCCCCAGTAGGGGGCGCGTGAGGGGCAACCATATATGGATGTTCCTCTTTCTCTCTTTCTCCTTCCCTTCCCCTCTCTCTGACTAGGAATACTTCTTTCCACCCCTTCTTGCCTGTAAGGTCTCTTTTGAGAAATCAGCTGACAGTCTGATGGGAGCTCCTTTGTAGGTGACTGTCCCCTTATCTCTTACTGCTTCTAGGATTCTCTCCTTCATTTTAATCTTGGGTAATGTAATTATGATGTTCCTTGGTGTGTTCCTCCTTGGGTCCACCTTCTTTGGGAGTCTCTGAGCTTCCTGGATTTCCTGGAAGTCTATTTCCTTTGCCAGATTGGGGATGTTCTCCTTTATTATTTGTTCGAGTAGCTTCTCCACTTGTTGCTCTTCCTCTCCTCCTTCTGGTACCCCTATGATTTGGATGTTGGAATCTTTAAAGATGTCCTGGAGGTTCCTAAGCCTCTCCTCATTTTTTTGAATTCTTGTTTCTTCCTTCTTTTCTGTTTGGATATTTCTTTCTTCCTTCTGGTCCATTTCGAGTCCCAGTTTCCTTCCCATCACTGTTGGTTCCCTGTACATTTTCCTTTATTTCACTTCACATAGCCTTTATTTTTTCATCTAATTTGCAACCAAATTCAGCCAATTCTGTGAGTATCCTGATCACCAGTGTTTTGAACTGTGCACCTGATAGGTTGGCTATCTGTTCGTTGCTTAGCTGTATTTTTTCTGGAGCTTTGATCTCTTCTTTCGTTTTGGCCATTTTTTTTTGTCTGGACATGCCTGTTACATAGTGAGGGGTGGAGCCCCAGGTGTTCACCAGGGCGGGGCAACCAGGTCACTGGGTGGTGACTCTGGATGTGGGGCAGGGGTCAGAGAGGGAACGATGGCACTTGCTCCACTCTCTCTACCAGCTTTCAGTCACTTCTGCTGCTCCCCACTGGCAAATTGGGCCCTTCTGGTGCTGATTCCCGGGTGGCTGGGCTTGTGTACGTTCTGGGGCCCTGTGGGTCTCTCCAACAAACCCTCCTGCGAGTCTGGGAGTTTCTCCAGCTGCCGCCTCAACCCCCACAGGTGTTTTCAATCAGTGGTTTGAGGCTTCATTTCCACGTGCCGGGACCCTGGGTTGCGTGGTCTGTCTCGCCCCCAATTGTTCCTCCTGGATTATCTGCGCGCAAATGTGGGACCGCCTGCTCCACCAGCCACAGCTGTAGCCTCACCAGCCTTGCGCACCCTGCTCCACAGTCCGGCGCGGGGTCTGCTGCCTTGCGGTGAGTCCTCTCCGTGCGCCCGTCTCCATCCTTCCTACTGGTCTGGATGAGTGTGTTTTTTTTAACTCCTTGGTTGTCAGACTTCCCTACAGTTCCATTTTCTGTCGGTTCTCGTTGTTTTCTGTTTTTAAGTTGTTGTTGTCCTTCTTTTGGTTGTGAGAGGAGGCACGGCGTGTCTACCTACGCCTCCCTCTTGGCCGGAAGTCAGATGTTATTTATTTATTTATAGCAAGAAGGGAAGAGAGGGAGAGAATCATCAGTGTAGTTGAACCCACAACCAGGGTCCTGGCCCACAACCCAGGCATGTGCCCTGACCAGGGATCCAACTGGTGACCTTTTGGCTCACAGGCCATTGCCGATCCACTGAGCCACACCAGCCAAGCCTAGTTTGGGGCTGTTATGCAGTAACAAGGAACTAATACAGGACCCTCCTCCCCAGTCTTTTTCCTGCTTGCTCTCTTTGTTAAAAAATACTTTAAAATTTATTTTTAGAGAGAGGGGAAGAGAGGGAGAAAGAGGGAGAGAAACATGGATAGGTTGCCTCTCACACGCCCCCTACTGGGGACCTGGCCTGAGCTCTCGGTTTGTGGGGCGACACCCAACCCACTAAGACACGCAGGTCAGGGCTCTCGGGCTTTCTCAGATGTGGACCACATAGCATGACAACTCCGTCAAAGCCTCAGGGAAGCAGACTGAGGCCCCTAATGGCTCTGGGGAGGTGCAATAACATTACGACACAAAAGGAAAGGGGCTCGTGCTCAGACGCATGCGCACAATGGGGATTCCAATAAACAGGACACTTGGGAAGCATTTCAAACAGGCAGGAGCTGAGAGGCGACCTCATTGCTTTCTAATCCAGTGCACCTAGGTCCGGAAGGAATATTAAATGAATATAACTGCATGTTAAGAGTTTTTTTAATGTCCAAAAAGAAGAATGACACCAATAAAAATGCTGGTAGCTCCACAATGTAAAATGCACTGAACGCCAGAAAACCAGGAATCACTTAATTCAACTTTTGTCCACGCTGGGGTTTCTTAGAGTGGCACTGGGGCCTGGGGGCACTGGCGGTGCCAAGGTGGGAGGTCACCTGGGCACACAGGTGACTGCTGAGATGCCCATGGTCTGGCCTCTGTGGCCCTTTGGGGTCAGCCTGCTGCTTCTCTGTCCTGTGGACTCCGGGCATCTTGGCTGGCCTGGGTCAGCCGTCACTTTGAAGCCCTTCCCGCCCCACCCCCATTTCAGGGGACACCCCCTGGCCACCAAGGGCATCTCTGTGAGAGTCATCCCCTCTGATCCCATTTTCTCTCACATTCTTTCGTGATAAGGCCCCACTAAGCAGCCCCAAACCCTCAGTCCCATTCAGCTGAGGGCAGGAAAGGCTTCATCGCCAACCTTCCCAGGAGCCTACCTCCCGCCAAGTAGGCGGTCGGAGCTGCAAAGGAGAGAGCGAAAGTCTGACTCTGTCCTCACACAGTTCGGGGGAAGAGGGCAGCCGCCTGCGGGGTAGCGGCCAGCACTCGCTGGGGTTCCCAGGCTCTGAAGGAACTCGCTGCGTTCCCACACGAGGCTGCAGAGGCAAGTGCTGCATTACGTTCGTTTTTCAGGCACAGAGAGGTTAAGTCACTTGTTCAAGCTCGCCCAGCTGAGAAGCAGAGCAGCCTGGATTCAAATGTGGTTGTCCACTCCCAGGCCCAGGGCTGCACCCCATACTTGGCCTGTCCCCCGAGGCAGGGACACGTGTGGGGCTAGGGACGGCTTTTTCCCACCTGCCCCAGGTCGGCGGCGATGCCCACCCACTGGGGCAGGAAAGCCGCTTGGGGCTTGAAGATGGCACGGAAGGGGGACCCGGGCAGGGTGAAGTTGGCCAGGTAGACGGCGTCCCCTCCGGCCAAGTAGGCGGCCCAGACCCCGAAGGTGCCGACGGTCATGATGGTGTGGTTGCACTGCGTGAGCAGCGCGAAGTCCTTGGCTGGGGAGCCCTGGCGACCGCTGCCTGCGAATGCCACGTCCCCGAGGGAGCTGTCGATGTTCTCCCGGCACCAGGCCATGCCGTCGCTGGTGACCACGAAGAGGGGGGCGCTGTAGCGGGCCCGGAACCAGTCCAGCGCCTGCTCTAGGTACGTCCGGTCGGCCACCACGCCCTTCCACACCCGCGGCATGACGTGCACGTAGTCCCCCCGGCGCACGTGGACCCCCACGAAGGTGCTCGGCCGGCCCCCTCTCACCTGCAGGCCCCGCAGGTGCCTCTGGGCCTCCTCGCGCACGTGGTCGTGCAGGGTGAACTCCCGGAGGATCTCGGGGCGCAGGTGGTGGTAGAAGGTCCAGGAGCAGGGGTAGCCGGTGAGGCGCACGAACTCCCAGGGGATGTGGCGGTGGCGCTCCTCCATCCAGTCGTTCAGGTGGTAGTTCCGCCAGGGGACCCTGCTGGCCGTGGCGTCGTGCAGGACCGGGAGGGTGATTCTGAAGATGGGCGCGAGCGTGCTGTGCATCTGCGCGGGGATGAAGGCCTGGCGGCCGTTCGCCTTGGCCAGGGCGTACAGCGTGGCGTACTCGCCCATCTGGTTCCCCAGGCGGCCTTTGGAGTTGATGGTGAACATGCCCCCCTGGGCCAGGGGCCCGGGGACCAGGACCACGCGGCCGGGGGAGGCCCAGGGTGTGGGCACCAGAGCCAGGCGCTGGCAGCAGTGGAAGATGGTGGACACCACGAGGATGATGAAGAAGAAGGAGATGGTGAAGAAGGAAGGGCAGGTGGCCCAGAGTCTCATGATGGCTGCAGGGAGGAGAAAGGGCCTGAGTCAGGAGAGATGGCTGGACATTCCTCAGACGTCTCACCGCCCCCGCCCGACCCATGTTATTCATTCATTCATTCATTCATTCATTCATTCACTCAACCCATCCAAGCGCCTCCATGGGCCTCCAAGGTGCAGCTCCAGGCCTGCGAGGGGTGTACATCCCAGCTCCGCCCCCTGCCACCACTGTGTGACTTCAGTCAAGCGGCTTCCCCTCTCCGAATTCCTGTCCCTCACCCCTTAAACAAGGACGACTAGGTCGAACCATTTGAAAGTGCCGATAGCTGACCTTCCACCATCGCATGTGGTCCAGTATAACAGACCTGCCTCTGAGGCTTGAGTGAGGATGGCATTTTCGTCTTTAGCACAGTGCCTGGTGCCTAGGAAGCACGATCTACATGCTGGGAAACGGATTCTTCCAGACTAGTCTTGCTGATGGGTTTCTCTGTCCAGGGAGCTCACAGGCTGGGAAGGCGGCACAGTGTGGAGGTCGAGAGCACAGATTCTGACGCCAGACAGCACGGGGTCACCTCCTGCTGGCCGGGCAACCCAAGCATGTTCTTCAGCTCCCTGGGCCTCAGTCTCCTCCTCAGTGAAATGGGGTTTCCCACAGCAGCTCCGTGAGCTGCGCTTCAAAGAGCCCCTGCCTAGTGAGTGCGTCTGGTGACGGTTGGCGGGTGTGGTGGATTCGAGCCAGTCAGACTCTCTCCCCGCTTCCCCTGGATCTGGGGCGGCCTGGGCCTGCCTTGGCCAATCAGACTCAGCGGAAGGGACCCTGGGCCAGGACTCGGGACTGGGTGCCCACTTTCTGCCTCTGTGGCTTTTCTCTGCATCGGCCCGTCAAGCCACCAAGTTGTAGCTTTTATATGAATGTCTGTGATGGACGTTTTGTTATTGGTTAAATTTTTGGTACTTGATTGACATGCCCCGTAATACTCAAATACCATGCAATTCTCTCATTAAAAACGTACAAGCATTACAATGTTTCCATTTGTATCACCCCAGAAAGAAACCCTCTGCGCTCCTTAGCCACCCCTTCCACCTGCCCACCCTCCGTCTCTGTACGTTTCATATAAATGGAATCACACAGTACGTGGTTCTTTGTGGCTGGCTTCTTTCACTAAGTATCACATTCTCAAGGCTCGCCCGGGCCACAGCGTGAGTCAGTGCTTTGCTGGTTTCTTTTTATAGCCAACTAATACTCCGTTACAGGGATGCACCTCCTTTTGTCCATTCATCAGTTGATCGGACGCCTGGTCAGTTTCAGACTATTATAAACACCGTTACCATGAACATGCACGTGCACACCCCTGCGTGGACCTCCGCTTTCATTTCCCCGGGGCATTTACCTAGGAGTGGCATTGCCGGGTCAGAGGATGAGCACGTTTAATAGTTTCCACAGCAGCTGCCATTCCGTCCCCACCAGCAGCGTGTGAGGGCTCCGGTTTCGCCGCATCCTGGCCCACACGCGCCCCTGTCCGTCTCTTTGATCGCAGGGGGTGTGCGGCGCTCTCTCGCTGTGCACCTCCGGCTCCACCCTGCCTCCACCGGGCTCTCCCAGGGCCCCCACACTTGGCTCCCCGTCCTTGTGACGGAGGGATTCCTCCTTCATCAGCAGTTGCTGCTTTTCGAGTCAGTCTCTCCTGCTCTCACACGGGCTCCCAGAGAGGGGCCCTTCACTCCGGGTCCCCAGTGCACCCCGACCCGCTTTCTCAGCCCCTCTTCTGGGTCTTTTCAGCGGCCACAGCTCAGAAGCCCCCAGCCCCATGCAGACGCCCAGGATTGTGCAGCCCCCCTCTCTGTCCCCTAAGTCCTATCTCACCCCCTCCAGCTCCCTCTCCCCCCTTCCAGTGGCCCCTTCAGTGTCGGGGTTCGGTGGGCCTTGCCACAGTTCCCCCCTCTATCCCAGGGCTCCTCGCTTTGTTACTCTGACCCCGTAGGGACATTGGAACACTCTAAGTAGGGCTCTCCTGGATCGGATCATGCTGGATGTGGGTCCCCAGCAAGGTCAGCTTGGCTCCTCCCGCGTGGGGGCTAAGGGTGACGTCATCTCGCTCCTTCCACTGAGGCGCACAGATGGTGCCCGAATTAGTGATGCGCCTTTACAGTGGTGCGGAAACAACATGCCTTCAGTAGAAACCACACTTCTGAGTCCGAATGTTCACCTTCCCCCCCCAGCTAGTCCTCCGAGGTACGGTGCTCCCTCCCCGCGCTGGGCAGCAGCCGCCACGTGCTTTTGCCCAGCTGCGGGCTGATGGAAGCGTTCTGATCATGTTTAAGGTCACCCAGGCTAAACGAGGGCATTTGGTGAGGCAGGTGTATCAAATGCACGATCGACTTAGGGCATTTTAGACTTTGTCGGATGGAACCCCAACGTAAGCCCAGGAGCACCTGTAAAAGACATGTCATGCTTGCCGTTTTAGTTTCCAAAAAGTTCATGAAATCTGCCCCGAGACCCTCTTCTCCCTGGGCTGGTTGACGGGCAGTTCTGCCCCAATGCTTATCACACCGCCTGCCCACCTCTGTCCCGCCCGAGAGGGACTCAGGCCCCGGCCTCCAGCAGCTCACCGGCTCAGTCAGGGCGGAGTGGGGACTGAAGCCCGGGGTTCTGGGGTGGGGGACCCAGCTGGGGCAAAGGCCCCACCACCCAGGGCCCCCTCCACGGGGTGCGACTGGTGCAGCCGCCCAGGGCCCTGCCTGCAAAAGGACCCTGAGCTTGCTTTAATGGTCTGCTCTTGGCGTCTAGAAATCCTCCAGAGAGTCAAACCAGGCACCCCGCGTTTTCGTTTTGCCCTGGATTCTGCAAATCAGGGAGCCAGACCCGCGGCCACCCTGTCCTTGGGTCTCAAGGGCTCCCCCTGCTGGCGTTTCGTCGGCCGGAACAACTGGAAGGTGTGGAAAGGAATCAAGCCAGGCCGAGGCTCCTGTGGGTCCAGCCACACGCCGCTGGGTCCCAACTCACTGACTGACCTACAGCTCCTCGTCAGCCAGGTCCCCAGATTGGGGGCGAACCCCAACAATACCGAGCCCTCCTGGGGACAAAACCTGGCCCGAGCCAATGGGCGGCTCTCTGTAGACTTACCCTAGAGTGAATGCCCGAGTGTTTTGCTGAGGAAACAATACCGTTTGACTGGAGGACACTGTCCAGCCCCCGCGAGTGGGGCTGTGTGACAAGCTGTCATTCTGCCTGGGCTCCCCACCATGGTGACAGGTTCTAAAGTGTCCGGTCCCAAGAGTTTTAGGTACGAGACTTAGTCCTCATGGTTGCCCATGAGGAAGGAACGTTCTTATGTCCATTTAAAAGATTAGAAAACTAAGGCACAGAGAGGTTAAGAGACTTGCCTCAAGTCACACAGCTAAGAAAGAGGTGGGGCCTGATTTGAACCCAGACCACCTGTGCTCTCCATTCGGGTCCTGGATATTTCAAGTATGTCCCAAGGGTGAGTACACGTGCCCTTGGGTCGCAGGCGGGGTGTGACCTGCCCTGCCTTGTGGGGCGTCTGCTATTTCTGGGTGGGGTCCCTCCCCGCTGAGTCCACCTCAGAGCTGTGCCCGGGGAGGTCCTCTCTCCATCCTGGGGTGCTGGGAGGGTGCAAGTGCCCAACACTTGAGGAAACTCCCCACCCAAAGTGTCCTTTCTGACTTGGAGGGAATGGTTTCCTCCCCCTCGGGCGGCTTCTGCCCCTCCCACCTCCCCCGGGCCCCTGCAGGGGTGCTAACCGCCTCAGGCAGCTCAAGCCACCGAGAACAAAAGGGAGGAATTCCTCCCCTTCAGGTAGCACTGGCTTAAGAAACCTTCTATCCCTGGGGGTGAAGGGAAAGTGAGACCTTCCCCCGGAGCTTTCTCTGGCAGCAAACCCAGCCTTTTCGTGGTCCCCCTGCCGGAGTCTTGCCTGCCCCACGCCCACGAGGCTTACCCTGGCCTCCCTCAGGTCGCGGCCCAAATGTCCCCTCCAGACCCCCGTTCTCTCCATCCACCTCCCTACTTGCTTCTGCCCCAAAGGACCCGTCGCCTTCCCCGTAACTGTCGGTTGCTTTTCGTTGCTTTTCCATAGCGATCTCTCCTTACCCTAGGATTGGAGCCGGAGGAGGGCCGGCCTTTGGCACCTGCTCTCTGCAGAGCCAAACACAAAGGGGGGGCCCTAGGGTGGGGGAGGGCCGTAAATACTGCCCCTCATCGCCGGCCCCTCACACTGCCCGCCCTCTGGCCCGATGCACTCCTTCTGATTTGGGGGTGTCTCTGCCCTCAATCCCTTGCTCTTACAGCTGATTCTTGCTTAATATAAGCTTTTTTTTTTTTTTTTAAATCCGATGTCCCTGTCCTGGCCCCTGCACGGTGGCGCACAAGGCCCACCTGAGCCAGAAGCACAGAAGGCCTGGGCTGCGCCCTCCCACCCCCCGGGCAGGGTCTGGGCAGGGGGTCCCCAGTCCCTATCTGGGCCAGGCCCATGCTGTGCCACAGTCAATGCCAAAAGCACTGGAGGCCAGAGCAGCAAATATCTGTGCCTCATCCTCCGAGGCCCTGGCTGTTCTCAGTAGGGAGGGATGCGAAATCTTATTGTTCTGGTGGATGCCGTTCGGCACATAACAGAGGTGGCAGGACCATTTGCAGAGAGGCTTCACGGCTGGGGCACTGAGGCCTCGCAGGAAGCCAACCGGCCGTGGGGGAGGCTGGCTGCGAGCTCTGGCCCATCCAGTCCCGCTCCGGCTGGCCACTGGGACCACTGAGGCCCCGGGCAGCCCCCGTCCCCTCCAGCCCCACCCTCTCAGACAGCAGCTCGCTCCTCTGCATTTCCCCATGGCTGGGCCGAGCCTCCCAAGAACACGGAGTTTTAGGGCTTCAGAGCGATTGACCTTACCGCTCAGTTAACCCACAGCTGACCGAGGTTCCCGAGGGGAGGAGGGGCTGGCTTGGGGTTACATGGCCAGGGGCCCACGTCCCATCTCAGTGCAAGTGGCTCTGACGCACAGCCGCCACGCGGTGGGGCTGAGCTGTGCCCTCCGTTCCAGGGGGTGAGAGTGAGTACAGGGGGACCCCAGACCCAGGAGGCCTGGCCGGCTGCTGCCCCATCCGGTCCTACCTGCCTGGAGCCTCCTCCCTGGTCAGCCTGCTCCTGGCTGTCCGGCTTCAGGCCCCCGGTGGCAGTTCTCGGGTCCCACGCAGCAGGCCGGGGTGGTGTGGCTGGCGGGGGTCCCTGAGGGGACAGCGTGGCTGCGGTTGGGGAGGGGATTGGGGCGGGGGTGGGGGCAGTGGTGGTGTTGGATTCTGCGGGCTCTGCTCTGAGCTCCCGCCCAGAACCCCCACTAGCCCGGGGCCTGAGAACAGACCCTCCGCACTCACTCCTGAGCGCCCACCCCGGCCGCCAAGCTCTTGCGGAAGGGGAGACACGGGAGGAACTAACTGCGGGGGACACTCTCTTCTCGGGTGCAGGTTTGGCCAGCGTCAGGGGCGAAGGGAGGGGTGCTTGCAAAATAAGCTGGGGAAAAGGAGCCTGAGGCCCCAGGGGACCCCCGCACCGCCCAGGCCCGGCTCCCTGACGGTGGGTCTGCTGGTGGAACTAGCCCCTGTTCCTGAGATGGGTCGGGGGTGGGCTCCAGCGCCCAGAAGGGAAAGGGGCTGGGGGCTGGACATCTGGGTTCCCCCGGGTGGCAGGGGTGGCTTCGGGGTCCCTCAGCAGCACCGGGGGGCTCACAGTCTGGTTGCTCAAGGTGCCAAGGGCCAGAAAGTGGCGTCACCTGAGCCACCCAGGAAGAGAGGAGAGGTGGGGGGGGTGGAGGAAATGGGGCTGGACCCTTAACAAAGCTGGTGCTGAGCGACTCCAGGGAAACGCCCGCCGCCAGAGTGCAAAATGGCGCCAGGCCCCTCTGCAGGGGCGGAGGGTGGTGCCCGCCACGGGAGCATGTGGCAGCAACGGTGGGGACACTGCAGGCTGGGACATCAGGCCGAGGGAGGGCGTAACCCCACCTGCAGCCCCAGGTGGCTTACGGACTCCCAGGCTGGGGCCGGATTCAGGGCCAGGCTTCTGGGCGGCAAGGCCTAGAGAGGCTCCGAGGCCCCCAGGCCTGAGTGAGTTTCTCATCAGGGGGTGCAGGCCAAGGAAGGGGGGGTGTCAGGGGGCATTTCGACACCAAGTTCTTCCTAGTGCTGCGATCCTGGGGGTCTGGCCTTCTGGCCGCCTTGTACACGCTGGCCTCTGGGCCAGCCCTGTCCCGCTCGTCTCTCTGCCCTCCCTCAACATCCGCCACCGCCAACATCTGTTCCCTGTCTGTTCTGGGGACCTCAGGATCAGAGGGCAATGTGGGAGCTCAGATCCCTGGACTCGGAGGCCGAGGATGGCAGACTGGGGGGCTGAGGTGATTAGAAAGTCCTCAGAAGTCCCAGCATAGGGTCTTCCCACCTGGAGTCCTAAGGGGGACCCGGCATCTACCCCCCAGCACCCCACAAGGGTTTCCGCACCTGATTCCCAGCCCCAGAGCGACCCAGACTTCCAGCCCTACACGTCCCCGTCCTCTCCTTTAGCACGCTTCTCCGGGCTTTGCACCTGGGGGGGAAAGGGTTAAGGGTGGCGGAGGCTGGGGGTGGGTGGCAAGGAGGCCCGGTGGTTTGGCCATAATCCCCTCCGTGCCCAGGGTGTGGAGAACAAGGTTAGGGCACCACGTGGGAAAGGGCCTCCCGCTTCTGATCCCCGCTGGGCACCCCGGCCCCTCCCCCTGCCCTTCCCACGGGCCTGCAGGGCTGCGGTGCTCTTGATCCCAGATGCCTGCCAGCCCGCCAGCCGGCCTGTCTGTCTGTCCGGGCCTCCGGGCTCCCTGGGGCCCTCTCCCCCTACTCCCTGTGGCCTCTGGGTGCCCGGCTACTGTCTGTCTGGGCCTCCTCCCCTCCCCTGGTGTCACAGGCTCTTGCTAGACTTGCCTCTCATCCCGTTTCTCTCTGCTGCCTCTGTCCTTCTCTCTGTTCCTTTGTCTCAGCTTCATCCATGTCTAAAGCCCCCTCCCCTGCCCAGCCATGACCCCAGCAGCCCGGGTGCCCCCCCCCCCCGCTTCACCACCTGCCCCCCCAGGGCCCCTGGCCCTTGACACTGACAGATCGCTCTGGGGTGTTAAGCTATGGATTAGTTCAGGCAAAATTCTCGATTTTGCTTGCGTTCTTTCCCCTTTGGGTTGTGTAAACAGTAATTCTCCCCAGATGGAACTATTTTCCTCGCTTAGAAGCAGCCGCGGAGGGGGCTTAGGCAGGGCGAGGGGCGGAATGCTGGGGTCCTCTGGGGGGGGGGCCTGGGAGACAGCCTGGTGCAGGTGGACACTTGAGGACAGCCTGAGGCCCTCAGCCCGCCACTCCTGTCCTCTCCAGGTACCTGCCCCTGCTGGGACCATGCCCGTGGCCTTCGCCCTCTTGCTCCTCCTGAGCCAGGCCACCTCGGACCCATGCTACCATCCAGGGGGCCGGCCCCGCTTCTGCCTCCCGCCGGTGACCCAGCTGGCCGGCACCGTGCTCTCCTGTCCCCAGTCCTGCGCCTTCCCCGCAGCGGCTGAGGTCAGCCCCAGGGCCGCCTGCAACGGCAGCCTGACCCTGGCCCTGGGGGGGGCCTTCCTCCTGACATCCGTCAGCCTGCGCTTCTGCCCCCCGGGCCCCCCGGCCTTGGTCCTGTCGGCCTCCTGGGCCACAGGAGGGCCCTGGAGATCCCTGTGGCGCAGACCCGCCTGGCCTGGGGCCTTGGGGGGCCCCGAAAAGGTGACCTTCCGTGCCCCCCGGGGCTCCAAGGCCAGCGTGGTGGCCAGTCACCTGCGAGTGGAGTTCGGGGGCCGGGCAGGGCTGGCGGCAGCTGGAGTGAGAGGACGCTGCCAGTGCCACGGCCACGCCGCCCGCTGCGCGGCCCGGGCCCGGCCGCCCCGCTGCCGCTGCCGCCACCACACCACGGGTCCCGGCTGCGAGAGCTGCCGCCCGTCCCACCGAGACTGGCCCTGGCGGCCTGCCACACCCTGGCACCCCCACCCCTGCCTGCGTGAGTCCTGGGCCCCGCTCTCCCGCCCTCACCCACCGCCCGGCCCCATGACTCGCGGACAGCGGCCCCTTGTCCCTGAGGCTCGCGGAGCGCTCTCTCCGCCGCGAGCTGCCTGTTCTTTGCTCCTCCCCTCACTGTGCTGCAGCCCGGTCCCCTCTTCGCCTCCCCCCCTCCCCCCCATAGCCTCCCACCTGCCGGCCCCAGACTTCCAGCTGCCCACCTGCCCATTAGGGGGCGCTCGTCTGTCCCAAACTCCAGTACAAGGAGAGTGACGTGAATAACACGTCCCGAGCACCCAGCCCAGGGCCCAGCTCGCTGCAGGCACCCCGATGACCCTTACGGGATAATTACAGGGAACGGGGCCTCTGGGCCTTTCCTGACTCATCGAATCGACCACAGGGAGTTAGGGTTCAGTCATCGAAGCCGTACGTACCCATCACCCACTATGTGCTATCATTGGGCTCAGCTCACAGATGGGGACACTGAGGCTAGGGTTGGGAAGTCCCTTGGGACACACAGCCGGTCAGTGGCAGGGCCAGAAGCCGAGCTCAGGGCCAAGGGGGTCTTGGCTTGTCCCTGCCAAGCCGCTGCCAAGCGCTGTCACACTGGGTGTTCTGGGGCAGCACGCAGGAGGCAGACTGCCTGGGTTCGAATCCCAGCTCCCCTGCTTGCTTACTGGCTGTGTGATCCCAGGCAAGTGACCTAACCTCTCTCTGCCTTCGCTCGCTCGCCTGTAAAGTGGGGGGAGGAACATACACGTGAAGTTGTTAGAAACGGCCCCCTACCACAGCCGGCGCAAAGGAAGTGTTTCCCCAGTACCTGCCGAGGTTATCAGCTCCCAGATGAGGGCGGCGAGGCCTGAGGGGCTGCATCCCTTGCCCTGAGCCTCACTGCCAGCAGGGGGCGGTGCTGAGCGAGCCTGGGGGAGATGGACGGGGCCTCGGGGGAGATGGGCGGCGCCCCAGGCCTTCTGGCTGGACCGTGCTCCCGCTCCACGCCCATCTTCCCTCCTTGGGGCTTCCAGACTGGAGCTTCCAGAGTCTAGGCCCCTCCCCAAGCCTCCGGAAGCCCCTTCTCTGAGTCAGCCCCTTCGTCCTCGTCCCTCCGGCCTGCAGCCCTTGTTGCCGGGTCTGAGGGTGGCTGTTACCAGTCCCTGGAGGGTAATTCCACTCCACAGACACACACACACACACACACACTCACTCACTCACTCACTCGAATCCCCTGGACTTCATTCTGCCTCTGCAGTTCTTTGCCTGCCTCTCTATTTCTTCCCAAAATGACTCACTTACAGACACACCACTGTCCTCGGCTCCCCACTCTATCCTCACCCCAACTGGGGTCCTCCTTGGCCCTCCACCCTGACACCTCAGGGCCTCTGCTCAGTTGGCCCATCCCCACCAGCCAGACCTGCCGCCCCATTGAGAAAGTGGGGGAGGGGGACGCACGTGGCCTGGGGGTGCAGCGGGGCTCGTCCTGGGCCTGGGCAGGGCCTGGGAGCAGCGGAGCTCCCCTGTGGGAATCACCACATGCCCCTGGCGGAGCGAGGCACCGCCCTCTGACCCCCACAGCCCTGTGATGGAGAAGGGGAGCCTGACTCCCGTGGTGAAACTGCAGGCTTCCGGACATGCTGTCTGGAGCCCCTTCCCCATGGACGTCTTCCAGAGCGAAGGGAGGTGACGTGATCACCCTCAGGTCAGAAAGAATCCAAAGGCCACTGCTTACCCACCGTCACCTGCGAGGACTGCCACCTCTGACGGAGCTCCCCACTGGGCCCGGAGGAAACTGGGGTGCAGAGAGGCAGAGCCACTCTCCCGAGAACACCCCCCAGCCTCGGCTCCCGGAGACCTTCCCCCACTCCCACGGGTTCGCAGGACCTGCCAGTCTGGGCCTCTCCAGCCTCTTAGAGCCCCGAACCCCTTCACCCTCTCCAAGGAGGGGTCCATGAACCCCCTGCATGAGCATCTCACTCCGGGATGCTGGCTAGAAATGCAGATCCCCAGGCCCAGCATAAGCCCTCGTGTGGGCCCTGGAATCTGTGTCATTCTTTTTCAAGATTTCCTTGGGGATTCTGAGAAGTAGTTAAGATTTGAGAGCCACTGCCTTAGAAAGCCTGGTGCAGGCGCCCAGAACCGGGTACACAGTGCTCAAGGGAGCCTGTGAGCTGTGCAGGAAGCACCGGAGTGTGGTCGCCAAGAGCACAGACACTGGAGCTGGAAAAAGCCTGGCTTCCCACGCTGCCTCCGACCACTCCTAAGCTGAGTCGCCCAGGGCAGGTGCCTTCACCTCTCAGAGCCTCAGTGTTTGCATCTGTGAAATGGGGACCCTGGCAGCGTCAGCCCCACAGAGGGGCCATGGGAACGCCACACCTGGGCAGTCAGCACGTGCTCCCCGGCCAGGGAAGCTCTCGCAGGGCCCATGCGCTGTGGGGCCCTGCATTCAGCACTCTCTATCCATTACATGACCTTGAAACCTCAGGAAGCAGATACTAGAAATGTCATTTTGCAGCAAAGGAAGCTGAGCTGCGCAAAGAAGTCACGTGCCCAAGGAAGACAATGGGACGTGAACACGAAGGGTCTGCGCACAGCCCCTGACGGAGGCCCCCACTCTCCTGAAGGAGCCCCCTGGTTTCACACAACTGCGGTTCCTCAGAGCCCTCGGGCTTTCCCGGCCCCAGTCCAGGGCCCCCATTTTAAAGATGGGTGTGAAGAGGTTCTGAGATCCAGGCTTAACCAGGCAGCCTCTTTGACACTGTGCCCGCAGTCTACTTCTGAGCAAAGCGGAGGGCAAGCTGGGGACGGGACACAGGAAGCCTGGGTCTGACTGGCTCCCCCTTGCCCCCAGCCTGTTCCTGCAACCAGCACGCCCGGCGCTGCAGGTTCAACTCGGAGCTGTTCAGGCTGTCGGGAGGCCGGAGTGGGGGCGTCTGTGAGCGATGCCGCCACCACACAGCCGGGCGGCACTGCCACTATTGCCAGCCAGGGTTCTGGAGGGACCCTAGCCAGCCCATCACCAGCCGAAAGGCCTGCAGGGGTGAGTGCGGTCTGTGGCCCAGCCCAGGCAGAAAGGAGGCAGGACCAGACACCTGGGTCTGAGGGAGGAGGGGCCTCGGAAGGGAGCAGGAGCAGCTAAGGCCCAGACGCCCCCCATCCCAGATCGTCTCTTCATCTAGCCTGCCAGTGCCACCCTATTGGGGCAACAGGCGGCACCTGCAACCAGACCAGCGGGCAATGCTCCTGCAAGATAGGGGTCACTGGCCTGACGTGCAACCGCTGTGGTCCCGGCTACCAGCAGAGCCGCTCCCCCAGGATGCCCTGCCAGCGTGAGTCCTGCGAGGCCCCAAGCCCCGCGTGGGGCTGGAGGCAGACATCCCAGATCCCTGATGGGCAGGTGTGACAACGGCTGGGTCTCTGGGATGGAAGTTAGAGGCTGGAGGCTGGACTCTGAATTCTCGGGGAAGTGGGGACCAAAATCCCAGTCTTCTCAGTGGGGCAAAAGGCCGGGGGCCTGCTGGACCACTTGATCTGAGGAAGGAGAGGCTGGGAATGCAGACTCCTGGGTCTGAAAAAAGAAAGGGCTAGGGCCCTGGCTGGTATAGCTCAGTGGATTGAGTGTGGGCCTGTGAACCAGTCTACTGCGGTTCGATTCCCAGTCAGGGCGTATGCCTGGGTTGCAGGCCAGTTCCCAGCAGGGGACCCATTTGAGGCAACCATACATTGATATTTCTTTCCCTCTCTCCTTCCCTTCCCCTCTAAAGATAAATAAATAAAATATTTTAAAAAAAAGAAAGGGCTAGGGATCAGGACTCAGGTCCTGACGGACAAGGGCAAAGGGTGCTTGCCCTCTTGGACCTTAAAGGAATATAGAGCTGTCTGGATTCTTTGGGAGTGAAGGGGGCGTATACAGAAACTCAGGTTAAATTTCTCCTTTGGTCTCTCATAGGAATCCCAGAGGCATCAACCACGCTTGCTACGACCTCTATCGCTTACAGCTCCGGTAAGGCAGGCTTGCATGGAGATCCCTGGCGGCAAGAGGGTTTGGGGATGGGCTGATTTGGCCCCCCAGTGGGGATACAGGGGTGGCCCATTGAGCCAAGACTCAGGGTTCCAGCACCCCAGGTGTCCCTCAGGATGAAATGTGGCGGTGGGCAGGGGCCCAGGCCCCAGGAGCCCCCTGCAGACAGCCCGACCCTCCCCAGACCCTCAGTGCCGCAACTACTGCAATATCTCGGACACCAGGGTACATATGACCCTCCGGAGGTACTGCCAACAGGACTATGGTGAGCGTTGGGGAGAAACGGGGCCAGCCGGGACAACTGCCTCCGTGCAACCCCCTTCTCTGGCCTTCATTTGCTCATCTGACGTGGGAAGGGGTGTTAGACTCTAAAGGGCCCTTTCTGATATACGACATGATGTGCCAGAAGACACGTGGGGGGCAGGGGCAGTGGAAAGGGGGTGTTCCCTACCCTTCTTTGTCTTCTCTTTCCCTATGTTCTTGGCCTTGCTGAGTTTCACTCTCTCCTTCAGCCTGTCACGTCTGAGGGAGGTGGCCTCCTGGGGGTGGAAGGAGAAAGGGGAACTTGGTTGAATGGAACAGGCCTTTGCCTGCTCTCGCCTACTGCAGACCCTCTCTGCCTCCCTTTGAGCCCCATGCCCACAGAGGCTTACCCTTCCCGAGTGATGCCGTAAGCCCCGCCTCGGGTCCCGCCCCCCGCCCCGTCAGGACTAACCCACCGGACCCCGGGGACTCCCCACCACACAGGCCTGACATCTCTCCTCCCCTCAGTTCTCCACGCGCTGGTGCTGGCGTCTGAGGGGGTAAGCCCGGCTTGGCGGCGGCTGGCCTTGCGCGTGCTGGCCGTGTACAAGCAGCGAGCGCGGCCTGTGCGCCGCGGCGGCCAGGAAGCCTGGGTGCCCAGCGCGGACCTGGCCTGCGGCTGCCTACGCCTGCGGCCCGGCACCGAATACCTGTTGCTGGGCAGTGCGGCGAGCGGCCCCGACGCCGCACGCCTGGTCCTCGACCGCCACGGCCTCGCACTTCCGTGGAGGCCGCGCTGGGCCAGGCCCCTGCGGCGGCTGCAGCAGGAGGAGCGAGCTGGGGGCTGCCGCAACCTGCTGCCTGCAACCTGGAGCCCTGAGCCGAGCACCGGAGCCCCAGCGGAGCGGCCTGGAGAGGCTACCAATGCCCTTGGAAGAGACCATGAGAAGAGCCTTTTACCTTGAGGGCGCTGCACTGAGCGAGCCAATCAGACGTCGAGGAGGCCATGACGTCACTAGCTTGCGCCAGCACCGTGCAGGCGCGAAGGCCTGTTAAACAAAGGCAACGAACTGCAGGCAGGATATTTGGTTTCTGCCTGAGTCTAGCGCAGCTAGTCCCCTCAATAAAGTCTTAAATCTTGAGGAACTTTGGCTACAGACCCCTGATCTGTGCTGAAAGCGTTGCTGAGGGGCAAATGAAGAAGGCCTTGAGTGACTCAGTGGAGCCAAAGTATGGCTACCGCTCCCTGACAAAATGGCCAATCCAATGAAAGAGCTGACGTGACGTCACTAAGTGCTGATCAGGTTTTGTTGCCCAATGATTGGGTAAAAGCCATGGATGGAGACAGCAGAAGGGAAAGGCAGGAATATGTACGCCTTTTTAGGATACCAGGGACAGATTTCCAGAAAGTTCCAGATTTAGGAATTTTCAGTTCTGGAAGGGCCTTGGGATGGTTTCTGAGAAGGAAATAAAGGGACTTTGAATAAACATCGGACAGAGGTCTCGAGTGGGGTTTACCTAGTCTTGAAGCACAGCCTAAGCCCTTTTCTGAGAGAATAGCCAATTGCGAGCCACAGAATAGTATGACATCACTTGCTGCTAAGCAGAATACTGTCCTATCCGAGAGTTGTCCTATCCAATAGGGTACCTATTGCCCAGGGATGGAGCTTCAAGGCTGAACGCAGTAAGCACTATGGAATAGAAAGTGGTCATGGCCTAGGACCTTGTTTGTCACCTGAACCTCTGCCCCTACACTTACAATCAAGAACACGATTTCAGTTTGGGGGCCCTTTGCAGGAGTCACTAAGTACTTTGAGGAAGTCTCAGAAGAAGGGATAGGCCTTGAAGTTCATTTGGGCTTAGGGAATGACCCCGTTCCTTTCTTGAGAGAAAAGTGGCCTCTCAGCCGATGGGGAGTCAGGGCGGGCCATAGTGTCACCCCTCCAGGGGGTGACTGTTTAACCCCTAAACTCCCCATAATGTCCTATATCTGGCCAAGCTTGCTGCCGGCCTCCAGCTGGACCCGGGGTGGGGGCATCTCTGAAGCAGGACTTAGGAGTCTTTGGGAGTTTCTAAGAACCGTTCTCAGTTCCAGAAAAACTCCATATTCTTTACCTTTGTTCTTTTCCTCCTTTGTTGAAGCCAACTCAATTGGGCATTCACCCCACCGCTCACTCCACCCTCATGTCCAGCCCATGAGCAAACCCTGTAATACTTACCCACTAAATATGTTCATAATGCAAAAATGTTTACCACTTTCACTACTGCCACCTTGGTCCAAGCCACCACCGCAGGTTGCCTGGGTTAGTACACTGGTTTCTACAGGGGTCTCACCTCTACCCTCTTAGCGCCTCTACCCTCTTAAAGTCTTCTTCGCACAGAAGCCAGGGTGATAGCTTAAAAGTCTAAGTCAGATCATGCCACTGTTGTGCGAAAAAACCCTTGAATGGCTTCCCATCTCTTTTAAAATAAAATCCAAAATACTTGCCCTGTCCTATAAAGTCTTACATGCTCTATCGCCACTGCGTAACCGACCTCACCTCCTACACTCCCCCTCATCCACACCCTGGAGCCGCATGGGCCTGCTTCTCGTGCCTTTAAAAAGCCACACACACGCTGCCACAGGGCCTTTGCATCGCTGTACTCTCTTCTCGAGACACATTTCTAGTTCACGTAATAAGCTAGTTCCCATTCTTCACTGAAGCCCTCCGTGAGCCAGGTCAGCTGGCTCTGTTGGCTTGAGCCAATAAAAGTTGATCTCTTGCTCATGTGCCTGTCTCATGCAAGTCAGCAAGGGGCAATTTTCCACAGTCACTCCAGGATCCAGGATGAGAGGCATCTACCATCTTGTCACTGCAACCTATGGCATCCTCGATTACTGCGACAGGCAACAGAGAGAGACAACAGAGGGCACTGCATGGCCCCTCGTGAGAGACAAAGGCTTTGGCCCAGGAATGACTGTGGTTCTTCTGCTCACAGCTCATTGGTCACAATGGTTCCGTCCAAGTTTGTGAGTGTGAGGAAGTAGAATTTTCTTACGTGCAACCTTTGCTTTGTGAGACAGTGCACAACCAAACTGAGCCACACGAGTCGGGGCACAAAGTTCTGTTGATGGCGCGGCTGCAGAGACCATGTGCGTGAAGATCACGGACTGTGGAGGCAGGCTACCTGGGTTCAGATCCCTCCCTGCCCCTCAGTTTTCTCATCTATGAAGTGGGCGTGATAATAATAATAATAGGGAATAACCCACAGAGCATATTATGAGGATTAAAAGAGTTACTATGTGTACATCATGGGCTTAGAAAGGTGCCTGGCAGCCCTGGCTGGTGTAGCTCAGTGGCTTGAGTACGGGCCTATGAACTAAAGGGTCACGGGTTCGATTCCCAGTCAGGGCACATCCCTGGGTTGCAGGCCAGTTCCCAGCGGGGGACACACAAGAGGCAACCATACGTTGATATTTCTCTCCCTCTCTCCTTCCCTTCCCCTCTAAAGAAAAATAAATAAAATCTTTTTTTTAAAGGTGCCTGGCAAAGAGTAAGATGCATGTGAATTAAAAAAAAATAATTGTTAACAAAGAAAAAAATTATTGTTATTATTTAAACACATAGTAGCCACACCTTCTCCAGAGAAGGAGAGCCCAGAAGGCTGGAACATAAATTGAGATTTTGCTGGACTCCCCAAGGAAGTAGGAGTTGAGAGCAGGGAAAGAGGCTAAGAGGCCAAGAGGGGCTGTGGGAACCCCCCAGGCCTGGATGGTCCTGGCCCTCCTGCCTCCCACCCAGGGGCTGGGGGAGTAGAAGATGAAAGTGACGAGTGGGCAAGCCCCGTATGTTCCTTATGACCCAAACTTTGTTCCCAGCGCCCGAGACTAATAGGTGTGAAATCCACATCTGGGACCCACTTCCGGCCTGGCCATTCCCTCTGCCTCAGGCACTGAGCCCAGCCTGTCTGTGCGCTGGAACAGAGGCGGCACAGGTGGCTTCCAGAGCTCAGAGGAGGCCCCTGACCACCTCAGCATTGCTGATGGCTTCCTGCAGGAACAGACTCCGCAAGTGCATAAGAGTCCGAGTAGTAACCTGCCGGGCAGAGAAATGCAAAAGAGTCCTGGCTGGTGTGGCTCAGTGGATTGAGTGCAGGCCTGCCAAGCAAAGGGTCACCAGTTTGATTCCCAGTCTAGGGTTCATGCCTAGGTTGTGGGTCAGGTCCCCAGTAGAGGCTGCATGAAGGCAATCACACATTGGTGTCTGAGCTGGGATGCACCCTGGTGGGACATCAGGGGGCGGGGCGGGATAGGAGAGAGACCTAGGCACGGTCTCATCTGGTGTAATGTGTGATAATTGAGGCAGCACGGGGCCCGGCCTGGGACTTCCAGGAAGAGACTTGCTGGAGGAGGGAAGGCCCTCACTGGGCCTTGCAGAAACTTCTAGTGTCTCCCAGGCAGATGAGAGGCAGCCACGGTCTCTAGGGATAGAGAGGGGGAGCATCCCTTCATTTAATCATGCCCAATTTCTCTCCTGAGAAGCGCCACATGCCCTATGCAAAGTGATGCTGGAGGCACAGAGGTGCCTTGGGCCCTCCAGGGCAGACACACAGGGACATAGACTCCCTCTAATGATATCTGTGCTCTGATGGAGGTAGCCGAGGGCACTGGAAATGTCCACAGCAGGCATTGGGAGGTCGAGGGCTTCCTGGAGGAAGAGAGCTTAACTTTAGGTAGATCCTGCTTTTTCTGCAGCATCCGTCCATCTGTCTCTCCCTCCCCACGTGTCTCTGGTTCCTTCATTGTCTCTGCCCCTGAAGAATTCCATGCTTTAAAATTTATTCTTTCATCCTTGGGGTTGGCTGCCGTGAAAAATTACCACAGAGTGCATGGCTTAAAATAAAAAAATTCTTTCACAGTTTGGGAGGCCAGGAGTCAGAAATCAAGGTGTCGGCAGGGCCATTGTCCCTCTGAAGGCCCTGGGGGTCCTCCTCATCTCTTCCAGCTCCCGGTGACTCCTGGCGTTGCTTGGCTTGTGGCCGCATCACCCCAACTGTGCCTTCACATCGCTGTCTCCCCTGTCTCAAATCTCCTTTTTTAAAAAAATATTTTATTTGTTTATTTTTAGAGAGAGGGGAAGGGAAGGAGAAAGAGTGGGAGAGAAACATCAGTGTATGGTTGCCTCTTATGCTCCCCCTACTGGGGACCTGGCCTGCAACCTAGGCATGTGCCCTGACTGGGAATCGAACCAGCGACCCTTTGCTTCACAGGCCCATGCTCAATCCACTGAGTCAAATCTCCTTTTGCCTTTCTCTTACCCTTGTCACTGAATTTAGGCTCTACCTCGATCATGGAGGATGACCTCACTCAAGATTATTAACTTCATTACATGTGCAAAGACCGTTTGCCAAATAAGGCCCATTCATAGGCTGCAGGTGGACATATATTTTTGTGGGGAGAAGGGTGCCCATTAAAGCCACCACATCCTGGAGGAGTCGCCTCCCTCTCTGAGCCTCGGCATTCTGTCTGCATAATGGGGTTAACGCCTCCTCATGGGGAAGCTTTAAGGCTCCGATGAAGCCTCCAAGTGCGTAGCGCGGCCCCCAGATCTCGGGAACTCGTGGGGTGGCTGCGATTTCTCCTGTTGGAGAACTAGCTCTGTATGGGCTGGGTACTTCAGCGGGCCTTTCTCTGCCTCTTTTCTCATTTCCCTGCACGTATGTCTCCATCGTGTTTTCTCCATCCCTCTCCTCTTTGCTTTTGTCCCCTCCCCCGCCGCTTCCTAAGTGTAACTGGGCCAATCGCCTGTGCCCTATGACTGGGTTTCCTCATCTGTAAAATGAGATAATAGTCTATGCTTCACAGGGCGGCAGTGAGGACCGCGTGAGTTGGTTCACAGAAATGCTCACAATTTTGCCCTGAGCAGTGTGGCTCAGCTGGTCAGGCATCGTCCCCCGAAAGCAAAGGGTCGCCTGTTTGATTCGC